GACAAACTTTATTATTAATCTTTTTGAAGAACTTTTATAAGTTCTTTTCTTGATTTTATGTCTTGGTATGAGTGAATTGTTAAGATTTATGAACTAGTAATAATTGAATACCCGAACTCTGGCGATTTAATTGACGATTTTCGTCACTGCATGCAGTTCAATGGGAATTATGGAAGAAGCAAAATTGTTGATCACCTTTCAGATGAAATTGAGCGCCGTCTTCTTCATGTAGGTAAATAGTCACTAAATGTGCCGTGAAGTTAATATCGGTTGTGTCATTATATTTTTAAGGAGCAGTTACTACCGAAGTACTCGAAGGTTACGCAAAGGCTGTCGAATGTCTTCGCAGATTAGATCCTACATGTGTTATAATGCAGCGAATTTGTTCTTTAATTCGGAACTATGTCAAGTGAGCTATGAACGGAAAATTCATTTCTGGCCAAAAACCTGTATTTTTTTATAACACTTGTCCCGTAATTGTTTAGTTTTTCTCAACAAGTTCCGATCATAATTCCATTTGCGGACAACAACTAAGTGGGGACAGGATAAGGCTGGGTCAGAAAAGCCCTACGCGCTTCCAGCTCTATTTTTTTTATTTCTCGCTGCCTTCCAACCCAGCTTAATTTTTGAGACGTTTTTCCAGCGCTACACTTCCACCTCATTAGAAGTCTTTCAGTAAATGCATTTTCGTGTATCTTTTTTAAACTCTAATTTCATTTTCCTTGCCACATCTCTTCTACTTTAAGATCAAGCACTTTTTTGACAGTAAGTAAGTAAGTCTTTTTTAGTTAGGGAAGTTTATAAAATTTTATATTTCATCTCAATTTGAATTTCAAGTACCTCTTCTGGAACAGTTAGGGATTTGGCTGGGCGCTATGAAGACCTGATTAAAAAGCAAATTCGTGATCTGTTCCAGTGTTACCTGCAGCGCTCCACAGTTTTGCTTAAACCCTCTTTTTCAGCATATGGAATTATAATGAAAAAATATTTCTTAAGAATATAAGAGAGATAAGCAATTAGCTTTTATTTCAAAATAATTATTTTTCATTTTAGACAGAGACCAGATACAGTTCGGTGCATTATAACATACATAACGGGAGAGAAGCGAGACGAACTCGGTGAACAGTTAATTAAAAAAAAGGCAACAATTATAGACGAGGAAGAATTAGAGGGAATCAATGACGACCTTATTGTTGGCACAGATGAAGCTTCGGGTAATTTTCTTCAATTCTGAAGTATGTAAGAAATAATGGCAGGTATTTTTTCTGTAAATGATGAAGTTTTAGAATAATAATTCACTGAACTTTCATTTTTGCGTTTTATCTGTTGCTGTAGTTCAGTGGTTTTTGTCTTTAGAGAACTGGCGAGAGTGGGTTGCTGATCCGCAGGATGCTGTAGTAGGGAAAAGCAGAAGGTTTCGACAAAATGCAGATGTTTTCAATATGTTGGTATCAGTTTACGGTAGTAAGGAACTTTTTGTTAAAGAATATCGTCAGATTTTGGCGGAACGTCTAATAAAATCGTGGAACAGAGAGGTAATCTTGTACTGCTACGATTTTTTTTGTTCAATTTCATGTTGAAATCTTTCTTTTTCTATAGCCTCAGTCTGAAATGCGCTACATTGATTTACTGAAGCTCAGATTTAGCGAGGGAGAGTTGCAGCAGTGTGAAGTAATGCTAAAAGATATTCGCGATTCAGAAAAAATCGATGAATTTGTGCGTGATTCTCTGGTAAAGATATATCCTTATTCGGTTACTGATGTTCAGTTTATTACTGTTTTAAAATAAAATTGTTTGAGGCATTCTGTTTCTGTTACAGCCATTTCCAATCAGTGCCAGAATAATATCTTCTTACTTTTGGCCAACTCTGGAAAGTGAAAGTTTTGTGGTGAGTGTTTGTTTGCAGTTTAAAGTGGTCTTAGATCTTTTGCTTTCAGTAAAATTGTTCTAATATTTACTGTTTTTTACTTGTCTTTTTATAGTAGTTATTGTGCTTGGGCATTCAATATTATTTTTTAGTCTCAGTAGTTATCTTTTGCTTATACTCATGCACAACTTTTCTCTTAAAAGCTGTAATACTTTTTATTTTTTGACTCTTCTAACACTTTTCTGTTTGGTATTTGCAACTTTTTTAGCTACCCAAAACGATGATGGATGGTCTTCATGTGTATGCAAGTGGTTTTGAAACAACGAAGGCTTCGCGAACCTTAAAATGGATGACTGGTGTAGGATGTATTCAGATGGATGTGGAGCTTGATGGAACTTCTATTTCTGTTAATGTTTCACCAGCTCACGCTGCTGTACTTGCAGCTTTTCTAGAAAAAGGTACTTTCAGTATGTAAAGAGGATTGACTATTTGGCTGATGTTTCAGCTATCAGCGGTTGATTAATTTTTTTAAATGCTCACATCGAGATATCTTCTAGTGTCCCACATTTTACAGAAAAATGGGCCTTGGAAGAACTGGCCTCCCATATAGGAATGGAAAAACGTAATGTTAAAAAAAGACTTGAATGGTGGCAAGCGTGCGGTATCATTTCATTTTCGGCGAAGAGCGTACGTTCCAACTTTTCTTAAGAATCCAGTAAGGTGGAAAATAAGTCTTAGTCTTTGCAAATTAATTCTAAAGCTGACTTCAGTGAAAATGTGTTTATCCCAAGGGTAAGTTGTTTTTCTCCTACAAAATTGTTATTGTTTAGACAGGAAGTGACTTGGGTACTTGGTTTCTCGGGTCTGGTCAGCTGAAAACAGATAGGCTAAATACCGAGTTTGATGCTGAAGAAGAGTCGTCTGAAGAAGAAGGTGAAGAAGACACAGGTGCTATAGATGCCCTCGAACAGTATTGGAATTATACAAAGGGTTTTATGGCTAATCGAGAACCGATGAAAGCGGAAAAGTTACAATCTATGTACAGGTCATTTTCAAAGTAAAGTTATGGAGTGACAATAATAATAATAATAATAATAATAATAATAGTAATAATAATAATAATAATAATAATAATAATAATAATAATACAATAATAATAATAATAATAATAATAATAATTATTATTATTATTATTATTATTATTATTATTATTTTGTTGCCTGACATTATGATAAAATTGTTTTGTGGTGTATAACTTCCCGTGCAAAGAAAATAGTCTTATTTTTGATTGGTGTGAACTTTTTTGGAGGTGTTCATTCCGTCATTCCATACGGAAAATTTTAGGATGTTTGCAAGCCCTGGACGTCAAGGACCAAGTTTAGAGACTGTCGTTGCTTTTCTACAGCGAAAAGTCAGATTAAATCTCCTATCGTATTCAAATGGATTCTACAAAGTAATAAAGGATCGGTCGGCCTCCTTGTGAAACTTTCGAGTTTGTAAAGGGAAATAAGGAAAGTTTTTATTCGGCTGCAATGACCTTTTTCCATTTGATGCTTTCTTTGCGATGTTTAATCAATAGTAATGCCTAGCGATGAGATCTCTGTGATATGCTGTTCATATCACACTCTTCAAATCTTTCCGTCAAAGAAGTAAAATTAGTGTATATAATGTCAGGTATCCCACACTTTTAGCAGGAACAGCAGCAATTTATGTATGTTCTACTCCAAACAGAAGCTTCGCAAGTTTGAAAAGCGGCCAAAGAATGGTGACATCAAATCTTTTTCCACTTATAATATCAGTTTAGTTTTATTCATCCCCTTTAAAGATTGAAATTTGCCTTCCTTTTTTAATTCTCTCCTGCGTAGAGTCGTAGCACTTATATCCATTGACTGTTTTCAAGAGTACCACAAAACTGCTTGGGCGTTTTGAATTTTTAGTTTCTCTTACACTCGCGCTTCCCTAACTGTTTTAGAAGCATTAGACTTTTGCAAGTTTACTGGGTTTACGAACTTTTTTAGTCGAATTGTATTATTTTACCCTTTAGACAGAGAGCTCTGGAGTACGTTAAAAAGCTCCCCTTTTTTTGAAATATTAGACAGCATTACCTACTGACTAAAATGCAGAACATGAGCGGTACAAAATATTAGAAAAGAAAAAACTGTAAACCACTAACGTTGTTTACAAAATTTTTGTGTCTTATCGTGTGGTGGGGGTCAGCACCTCAGCACCTTGACTGGAAGAAATTATAAGTGATTTTGTAAGTGTAGCAAGCTTTTGAGTATTAAAGCCCTCCCCAGTACTCGCTTTTCCGTTTGGTTTGAAGTTTTACAAGTCTTCTGCTCGAACTTCAAAAAATGTTGGATTTTGCGACATATTGTTAGTGGGATTTGAGGTCTTCAAAAGTTGCCGTCTGAAAGCCCAATGAGGCATGATGTAACCAAAAATGTATTCTATCAGAAGTTTTCCTGCGAACAGTAGCTGTTGATCGGGACATGTGGAAGAGGTTATGGACGCTTTGCGCAGAAGTAGTCGAGCGTTGCCGAAGAACCGCAGTGCTTGTTCTCTCTCTGTATCAAGTTGCACTTAGAAATCTTATCATCTTTTGGCAGACTGAAAATTGTAAATGTATGGCTTTAGAAGCGAGAATTTTGAGATGGTAGATATTAGGCAACTGAGGCTTTTTTTTAAGTTTGGGTTCGTCGCATTCTTAGCAAATGCAGCTAGATCTTTTTTACTTCAGCAGCGAAAGAAGTTAATGCCTTTCTTTAAATGTTTTACGTAGGGAAAATTGTATGGGTATTACCTGCTCAGCTCTTAGTAGCAGGTGTCTAACAATGGATTACGCATTAATTTTGAGACATATCCTGCCAAGCAAAGAAATGGAAGATGTAAGGACAAGTAACTCCATTTTTCATAACACGCACTTAAATAGAGGAATGGTCAGGGAGTCCCAACAGTATCTTCCTGTAAATCTAACACTAGTAATCAAAAGCTTTAGGCTAGGAGACTGAACTAAAAAAGCTGCCTGAGTTCCCACTCTTCCCTC